TCCCCCCCATTCAAGTTAGGTGGCCTTGGACAAGCCAGCCTGGACCCGGATGGCCCAGGCTAGCCCAATCTCTTCACTTCTTGGAAGCTAAACAGAGTCGGACCTGGTTAGTATTTGGATGGGAGACCAGCAAGGAAGCCCAGGGCTGCTACCCAGAGGCAGGCAAAGGCGGGGACCACTTCTGCTTGTCTCTTGCCTTGAAGACCCCCCGTGCGACAAGGGTCACCACAAGCCGGCTGTGACTTGATGGCACCTTCCACCCCCCACCCCCCCAGCTGTAAGAGCCCTGGCCTGGATGGTCCTGCTTGATGGCACCTTCCACACACACACACACCCAGCTGGAAACGCCCTGTCCTGGATGGCCCCAGCCTGTCCTGATCTCATCAGACCTGGGAAAGTAAGCAGGGTTGGTGCTGGCTGGTGCTCGGAGGGGAGACCAGCAAGGAAGCCCAGGGCTGCTACCCAGAGGCAGGCAATGGCAAACCACTTTTTTCCCCCCATGTGTGTCTGCGTGTGAGTGTGTGTATGTACCTAGGGGTCACGGCGACCTCTGTTGACTGACCCCTACTGGGGGCTTGGAGGAAATTCAGAAAGGTGGCTGAATAAAGCCTGCCCTTGTCCTCCCGAAACCTGGTCTTCCTTGGAGCTCTCCCATCTGAGTACTTGCCAGAGTTGACCCTGCTTAGCTTCCGAGATCTGATGAGATCAGGCTAGCCTGGGCTACCCAGGTCAGGGTGCAGATCACCTTTGAGTGCCTCTTGCCTTGGAAACACCAGGGGGTCCCTGTAAGCCAGCTGCGACTTGATGGTGCTTTCCTTGGCCAGTCAAGCCACCCTCTCCTAGCCTCCCATCTGCAACATGAGCACAGCTATACTGGCCTCCCCCACAGGACCATTGTGAGGAACACCATGAGTCAGTGTGCCTGCCGTGCTCCGAGTACCCAAAGAGGCGTACAAACGTCTTGTGTCATTATTGAATGGGCGTGCTGAAACAAGTAGGTGAGCTGCATGGCGGTGACTTGTGATCAGGAGGATGCACTCTGCACGTTCTCAGGAGCAGGAGGGAAAGGGGGGATAGATGGGGAGAGGAGGAGGAGGAGGAGAAGTAGTCTCAGAGCAGTTTACAATCCCTTCCCCTCCCCACAACAGACACCCTGTGAGGTAGGCGGGGCTGAGAGAGCTCTCTGGAGAACTGCCCTTGAGAGAACAGCTCTGAGAGAACTTATGACTGACCCCAAATCACACCAGCAGCTGAATGTGGGGGAGTGGGGAATCAAACCTGGTTCTCCCCGATTAGAGTCTGTGCTCTTAACTACTACACCAAATTAATGGGATTTGGAGATGGTAGAATTCTGATTTGGCGGAGCAGAGGTGGCAGGCTATCCGCTTTGCAACCGATGGGCAGATTTCTGCAACAACACGGGAACCGGACTCTGCAGGAAACTGGGAACGTTGTTCCCTGCCTCAGGACAGCCACATCAGATGTTTGTTCCCTGATCAGGATTCTGATCCGGTTCCTGTAATTTCAGCCGATCAGATGTGTCCTTGAGAGGGAAGAATCAGGCCTTTCATCATTCCTTTTGTTTCCCTGATACTGTCATCATGAACAAGCTTCAGGTTGCACGCTTTCCTTGATGAGTTTCTGTCTCTTTTGTGCCTTTCCTACACAATTTTATATGTACTGTGTGCATTATTTATAGATAACGGCTGATTTCTTTTTTTGTACGCCCAAATAACATGAAAATGTGAGAGATTCAGCGCAAGGGAAACAGAAAAGGGCCAAATGAATGAGGATGCGTCATTTTTTTATTCACGCAGGGGAGCAGCAAAAACTGAAACGGGATCTTCAAATGGAACTGGCAAGCCTGTGAAATTTGAGAATATCCCTGGTTGGAGGCTGATCAATGCATTTCCTAAAGAGGGTAACCACCCCCGAGCAACGTTCCCTCTAAGCTGTGAAGTCCTGTGAGCAAAAATTCTACTTTTTGAGCTACTGGCAATAAAGTTGTGAGCAAGTAATTTGGCTGCTGCATAAATTAGTTTGCTCCGGAGCCCTCCTTCCTGAGCTAAGATAAAAATGTGTGAGCTGGAGGCTAAAAAACAGTGAGCTAGCTCACACTAACTCAGCTTAGAGGGAACAGTGCCCCCGAGTAACAAGGCTCCGTCTTGAGAGGCCGCAACTCTCATCTCAGAGAGGATGGGCTTAGGAAGCACGGGAAGCATAACGGCGGAAGGGCTGTGACTCTGTGGCAGACGATCCGTTTTGCCTGAAGAAGGTCCCAAGTTTCAATTCCTGGCATCTCCAGTTTAAAAAGGACCAGGCAGCAATGCTCCCTCTAAGCTATGGAGTCCTGAGAGCAAAAATTCTACTTTGTGAGCCACTGGCATTAAAGTTGTGAGCAGGTGATTTGGCTACTACTGCATAAATTAGTTTGCTCCGGAGCCCATCCTTCCTGCGCTAAGACAAAGATGTGTGAGCCAGAGGCTAGAAAACTGTGAGCTAGCTCACACTAACTCAGCTCAGAGGGAACACTGCCAGGCAGTAGGTGATGGGACAGACCTCCACCTGAGACCCTGGAGAGCCCTTGCCTGTCTGAGCAGACCGGTATTTCACAACCTTTCCACAGCTGAGACTTTAATCTCCAAGACTGTGGTGCAGGATCTAGGGAGCTGCCAGTGTGGGGAAGCCTCAGTCACGTGACAGGAAGGGGAGAAGCCAGGATGATGCATGCCCTCACCTGTGCTGAGACCCAGGACAGCAGAGCAAGCCAGTTGGGGACAGGAGTCACAAGTCAAGCACCAGGAGAAGGTCTGCCACAGCAAGGAACAAGCCGGGGGGTGGGGGTCAAATTCTTGAAGGGATCTTCTCCACTGCTAAATGACCTTGCCTCACTCTCATAGGATCACAGAGCTGGAAGGGGCCCCACAGGCCGTCTAGTCCAACCCCTTGCTTGTTCAGTGTTGTTAATGATGATTTAAAAACAAATTAAAATATATTAAAAAAATATTTTACATCTAAGATCCAGACCTAATCCAGTACTCACACTTGCCTTACTGACAGAGGTAGCATAACTACCAGCACTTCTTACCCTTTCTAATTGGTTGATAAACGTTCAAAAATGTTAAAATAGTTTCTACTGCTACATAATAAGCTTTTGATGCGACTTGATCCTTATCTCTTGTTGTTGCTTGTTTAATGCTTTTGATGTTCAGTGTTGTTAATGATGATTTAAAAACAAATGAAAATATATATTTCGTCCAACCCCCTGCTCAATGCAGGATCAGCCTAGAGCATCCCTGACAAGTCCAGCCGCTGCTTAAAGACGGCCAGTGAGGGGGAACTAATAACCACCTCCCTAGGCAGCTGATCCCACTGCTGCACAACTCTGACTGTAAAAAAGTATTTCCCAATATCCAGCCAGTACCTCCCCGGCCTTTATTTAAGCCCATTATTGTGAGTCCTGTCCTCTGCTGCCAACAGGAACAGCTCCCTGCCCTCCTCTAAGTGACAGTCCTTTAAATACTTAGAGAGAGCAATCATGTCCTCCCCCTCAACCTCCTCCAGACTAAACATTCCCAAGTCCCTCAGCCTTTCCTCATGGGGTCTCCAGGCCCTCGATCATCCTTGTTGCTATCCTCTGCACCCGTTTCAAACGGCACACAATCCAGCTATGGCCTGACCAATGCAGTGTACAGCAGGACTATGACATCTTGCAATCTGGATGTTACTCCTCTCTTGATACACCTCAAGATCGCATTAGCCTTTTTTGTCGCTGCATCACACTGGCTGCTCATATTTAACTTACAGTCCACCCGCCCCCCAAGATCTTGTTCACACACACTGCTATCCAGAAGTGTATCCCCCCTCCAGTATGCGTGTTCCTCATTTCTGTTATCCAGATGTAACTTTCTTGCTGCTCATCCCGGCATGAACAGCACAGAACCCATGCTCTCTCTGTCTGCGCACTAGCAGCAGGTCCTTCAAGAAAGAAGCAAAAATATGGCCTCTCTAGGGGAGCTCGTGACCCTCCAGGGAAGGCTCTGTGACCAGCCTGAGGATCCCAAGACCGCCAGCGTCGGCAACACCGAGCCTGATAGATCAATGGTTGGACTTGGTTTAAGGCAGCTTCATGGACGCCTGTGGGACAGCCCCCCTCAAGGTGTGCCCCCTGGAGCTCCTTCAAAGAAGAGTGGGAGATAATGTGAGGCACGAAAATGTCAGGACAGTGCGCGGCTGCAGTAAAAAAGGCCAGTGCTATGCTGGGGATTATTAGGAAGGGAACTGAAAACGAATCAGCCAGTATCATAAAGCCCCTGTATGAATCGATGGTGTGGCCTCATTAGGAATACTGTGTGCAATTCTGGCCACCACACCTCAGAAAGGATATTATAGCTTTGGGGAAAGTGCAGAAAGGGGCAACTAGAATGATAAAAGGGTTGGAACACTTTTCCTATGAAGAAAGGTTAGAGCACTTGGAGCTCTTTAGCGTGGAGAAATGACAACTGAGGGGTGACATGATCGAGATTTATAAGATTATGCATGGGATAGAGCAGGTAGAGATAGAAGTACTTTTCTCCCTTTCTCACAGTATAAGAACTCGTGGACACTCCATGAAATTGCTGAGTAGTCAGCTTAGGATGGATAGAAGGAAGTACTTCTTCACCCAAAGAGTGATTAACACATGGAATTCACTGCCACAGGAGGTGGTGGCGGCTACAAGCATGGACGGCTTCAAGAGGTAACTGGATAAACATATGGAGCAGAGGCCCATCAGTGGCTATTAGCCACAAGGTATAGATAGGAACTCTCAGTCTGGGGCAAGGGATGCTCTGTATTCTTGGTGCTTGGGAGGAGGGGGCAACAGTGGGAGGGCTTCTAGTGTCCTGGCCCCACTGCTGGACCTCCTGATGGCCCCTGGTATTTTTGGCCACTGTGTGACAGAGTGTTGGACTGAATGGGCCACTGGCCTGATCCAACATTGGCATCTCTTATGTTCTTACGTTCACAAAGGCAATGTGCCACCAGTGAATCTCAAATCCCACACCAGTTTTCCCAGTGGCCGAGTGATCCTGGGACCCTCAGGAGGGGGTCACAGAACTCTCCCTAGAGGATTATGAGCCCTCCTGGATAGTGTCAGAGGGCAGCCGCTTTGGTCTGCGGTAGAAGAGCTAGACTCGAATCCAGTAGCCCCTTAGAGGCAACAAGATTTTCAGGGAGCTTTGACTCTGGCATGCTTATATCCCAAAACCTTATCTGTCTCTAAGGTGCTCCCTGGACTCGAATAGTGACCTCCTGGCGATGCCATTTCCCCCCTTGCTTTCTGGAAGGACCCGCGCTAGTTCTTCCAGGAACAATCCTTTCTGGCAGCAGCCCCCACATGACGGAACTCTCCTGCGCACGAGAGAGAGAAATGCACAATGCATTTATTTATACCCCCCTTTTCCTCCCCAGCTGGGACTTAAAGCAGCTTAGAACATCATTCCCCCGTCCTCCACCTTCTCACAACAACAACAACAGTCCTGTGAGGAGGGCCGGGCCAGGCTGAGAGTCCGTGACTGGCCCAAGGTTCCCTAGGGAGCTTCCAGGGCAGAAGTGGGGACCCGAACCCAGCTCTCCCAGCATCCTAGTCCAGCACTCCATGCACTACACCACACTCCGGCTGTTCTGCCAGCTACCAGTTCTTAGGAAGCCGGTGAAGGTGTCTCTTACCCCCGGTAAGAGCTGTAACTTCCTTTTCCCATTTTATTGAAATCTCCAGCGGGACTTTTGCCACCGCCTCTGTGTTTTGCAATCTTTTACAGTGAGAAGTTTTCACATGAGCTTTTCTGGGTTTAATGCGAGCCCTTTTATTATTGCGCTAATGCTGTTAAGCTGCCCCCTTGCGAGCCCTGATGGTGGAGTATAAATCCCATTAAAAATATTAAAATAAATAAATTATTTTCTCGGAGCCTCGGGGGGGGGGGTCGAGCGGGATATAAATCCAAATAAATGAATGAATGAATAAATAAATGAATACGTTAGGGAAGGGGAACAACACAAACCAGCCGGTCGCCTCGAGCGAAAAAGGAATACCAAAGCGCGCCGTCTCCCGATGGACAATGCAAATCTGGAACAACAGAAGCCCGGGAGCTGCTTCCTACCTTGACGCCACGGATCCGGAACTCTGCCAAGGCCCGGCTCATCTTGGAAGCCGCCGTCGTGTGGTCTTTGCCGTGAGCGATGACTTTCACCAGCAGCGAGTCGTAGTGCGGGGAGATGACGGCTCCTTGGAAGGCCGAGGCGCTGTCCAGGCGGATCCCCATGCCCTCGCCGCTCCGGAACACCTGGGGGGAAAGAGAAGAGGAGCAGGAGGTGAAAGGTTTTCCCCAGAATGCAACAGACAAACATTTCAGTGCGTGGTCTGTGTGATTTGGGGTGCCCAAGGATCCCAGGGGAGAGACTGTGACTCAGTGGCAGGATGGGTGTTTTGAATGCAGGAGGTTTGGTCACCGCGCCGCAGGGCTCTTTTTGTAGCAGGAACTCATTTGCATATTAGGTGACACACCTCTAATGTACCCAATCCTCCAAGAACTTATAGACCTCTTCTTACAGGGGCTATTGTAAGCGCTTGGAGGATTGGCAACATTAGGGGTGCGTCGCCTAATATGCAAAGGAGTTCCTGCTACAAAAAGAGCCCTGCTTGAGTGATATCTACAGTTAAAGGATCTCAGGAAGGCCGCAGCTGGGAAGATCTTCCTCCGCTTGAGATCTGAGTGGTTGCCAGTCAGAGGGGACCATATTGAACTAAGTGGGCCAAAGGTCTGGTCCTAAGGCAGCTTCATGCACTTAACCCTTTGACACCTAAAGCAGCGGAGCTGGGAAAGAACCTTGAACACATGAACACAGGAAGCTGCCTTATACTGAATCAGATCACGGGTCCATCAAAGTCAATATTGTCTACTCAGACTGGCAGCAGCTCTCCAAGGTCTCAGGCAGAGGTCTTTCACAGCACCTAACTGGAGAGACCGGGGATTGCACATAAGAACGTAAGAGAAGCCAATGTTGGATCAGGCCAATGGCCCATCCAGTCCAACACTCTGTGTCACACAGTGGCCAGAAATACCAGTGCCATCAGGAGTTCCAGCAGTGGGGCCAGGACACTAGAAGCCCTCCCACTGTTGCCCCCCCCCAAATACCAAGAATACAGAGCATCACTTGCCCCAGACTGAGAGTTCCTATCTATACCTTGTGGCTAATAGCCACTGATGGATCTCTGCTCCATATGTTTATCCAATTCCCTCTTCAAGCTGTCCAAGCCTTGTAGCTGCCACCACCTCCTGTGGTAACCTGGGACCTTCTGCATGCTAAGCAGGTGCTCTGCCACTGAGCCACAGCCCTGAGCGCCTTTGGAATGCCAGATGGACTGCTGTGCATGTATGTATGTGCCATCAAGTTGCAACTGACGTATAGCAACCACAGCAAGGGGTTTTCAAGGCAAGTGAGAAGGAGAGGTGTTTTGTTATTGCCTTCCACTGTAGAACCTTCCTCAGTAGTCCCCCTTCCAAGCACTGACTCTGCTTAGCTTCTGAGATCTAGTGAGACTGGGCGACCCGAGACCACTCCACATCCCGGACAGATCACTGGTTAGCCACAACCCCCATGCTGGATCCTTCCGTCCCTTTCACAAACCCTACACAGAAGACCCCCATAGTGCGGGAAGAGCCCAACATCCCCAGAACAGAAAGCAGAATCCCCGAAGCATTTTTTGCATCCAAGAAAATGTCATGTCAGTGGAGCTCGAAGGGTTATATATGCAGCTATTGAGTCAGAAACCAGAGGTCATGTTTCTTTACTTCCCCCTCACCATTCGCTGGCTCTCTCTCTCACATGCCTCCCCTTTGTGCTCAACCCTGGGCAACAGGACTGCTGTGGTCAGTTTCAATTTGTATTTCTAGCCTGTTTCATTTCTGTTCTTTCTAATGCTGCCCCCCTCCTGGGAGTACAAGCCGCCAAGTTGTTTCTGGAGAGGGCCCTGGAGGAGAACAACAGCCAGACAACTGCGTTGGTTGCAGCAGCAGAAGAAGTCGGGGGAGGGGGGGAGCACAACTCAGTTGTAGACTTACACACACACGTTTTAAGAGGAAGAGATCTCTATCCTTCACAACAGTCCTGCTGCCCTTTGTTAACCTGAAGTGACAGGGCGTCTTTGGAGGCATGCAGCACAACCCTGCCACTTGCCAGACCGTGTAAAATCACTGGGTTTCTAAAGATCAGGCCCTTGGAGCAGCCTCTTACAGAAATGGCTACTTGAGCACAAACCAGGGCGCTGGCTTACCACCTGCCCGCACTACTACAATACACCAGTTCTGGGTGCTTTACGAGTCTCTATTTTTTGCTTTGGTTTTAAAAACAGGTTGTTGGTCCTCAAGGAAAACACCGCTTTAAAAGCAAGGCCCCGTGTTTGTGGAGGCTCATGGCAAAGATCACTCCACAGCAGTATACTTCCAAAGATCTGCAGTGGGCGACTGGAGACGTGACAAGTAGTGAGCGACAGATACTGAAGTGAGACAGCAAGGCTCCTGTATCTTTAACAGCTGTGCAGTGAAGGGAACTCTGGCAGGCTCTGCTTTTCTCACCTCTAAGTAACAAGCTATGGTCCTTTCCGCACTTGGATCTCATCTCTGGTTTTATCAGAGTTCAACCCGTGACACAATACCTTACATTTATCCAAGAAGAATAGGAGGAGGAGGAGGAGGAGGAGGAGATTGGATTTATACTCTGCCGTTCACTCGGAGTCTCAGAGTTGCTTACAAACTCCTTCCTCTCCCCACAACACACCCTGTGAGGTAGGTGGGGCTGAGAGAGCTCTGACAGAAACTGCTCTTTTCAAGGACAGCTCTGATAGAACTATGGCTTACCCAAGGTCATCCAGCAGCTGCAAGTGGAGGAGTGGGGAATCAAACAACATCTGTTTATCCTGGGACAAGTTTTGGACAAAACCGGGGTGACCGCAATGTAATGTGGAAACAAAAAATACCCCGAGATAATTACAAGGTTGAACTTGAGTATAATGTAGAATGTAAAAATACCCCAAGGTAATTACAGGGGTGAACTCGAGTGTAGTGTAGTGTAGAATGTAAGTTCGGGGACAGGGTTGAACCAGGATTTAAGGTCTAGTGTGGAACACCCTATGTCTGCTGGAATTCCTTCTCTTACACCACCATAACAGATACAGGATCTCTGCTCTCCCCCTTTGCATATGGTCACCAGGAAAGAGAGAAACAGACATGTATGGTTACATGTTTAGAAAGAGGACCCCACGTTGCAAATTGGTGCTAAAAGCAGGCCTGAAGACTAAGGAAGACTCCTGGACACAGATCCTACATCCTGAGTGGATACAGCCCCAGAGTGGACCAGGGTTTGAATTCTCACTCGACCACAATGTCAAACCTACCTTAAAGTGCTATTGGGAGGATAAAATGGGGTAATCCCCACTGCTCTGGGTTCCTTGGAGGAACAGCGGGAGGCAATTACTGGAATAAACAACAGGAATAAATAATGACTGCTGGCGTGGCAGGAATGATAACAAATCCCTCTAAAGCTCAGATATCCTCTAAAGCTCAGATATCCTCAGCGTCATAATCTATAGAGCATTCCATGCATGTAGCAGCGGCTGGGGGCAGAAATCTGGGTAAATGCAGAAATGGTGTATGTGTGTGTGAGAGAGAGGGGGTGGTTTCAGGAAGTCCAAAAAACAATGCCTTGTGATACAGGGCGCTGAGCAAAATATCACCTGGGATGTGGCCGTGGTACTGAAAATACAGCTCCAGGCACATCTGCAATGTCTCAATACTAATTTTCATAGTTGGGAATCTCTCCCTACTGTTCCTCAATACATGGTCAAGAAGGCAGTGTCTAGCTAAAGGTTTGGTCCTTCGTGGCTTGTGCCCATCCAAGGAGACGGAAAAAGAAAGCTTCCTTCTTGTGTCCTGAGATCTTGTCATCTCTGCTTGGGAGCCTGCCCCCCCCCCACCTTGGGGTCAGTCCTGGTCTTCTTGCTTCAACAGAAAGGAATTATTAGCCAGCCTTTTGGCTTCCCTTGTCCTTTAGGTGTGACATTCTAGCAAGGTGTGAGATGGTAAACCTTTTGGTCTTACTTTGGCCAGAGCCATTTGCCTCCGTAAGCACTGATGCACGCTGTACTTGCAGGGCCTGATGGCTCGTTCCCTGACCTCTGCCTTTCTGCCAGCTACAAATCTGCAGCCAGGTTCCAACTCACAGACAAAGTACAGTCCCAATGGCTGAGTCACTGAGATGAATTCTAGGGCAGAGGGCATTTCTCCAAAGCCTGTCTGGACCTCTTTCAGGGAAGCTTGCCTGCCATTACTGATCTCCTCATTGAGCACCCTCTAATAAGCTTCCAGGTCACCCTGGTGTTCTCCTGGCAGTGTTGTGGATCCAGCTGGTGAGACAGACACAGTCTCCAAATACACGGAGACCCCTTATCTGGGCAGACCCATAAAGGACCAACACAGCCCTGGGCTGTATTCCTTCTAAGTGTTCCTTCTAAGCTTAGTGTGAGCTAGCTCACCGTTTTTTAGCTTCTGGCTCCCACATTTTTGTCTTCACTCAGGAAGGATGGCTCCAGAGCAAACTGATTTATGCAGCAGCCAAACTGCTCACTCACAACTTTAATGCCAGCAGCTCACAAAGTAGAATTTTTGCTCACAAGACTCCACAGCTTAGAGGGAGCCTTGCAGTCTAGGGACAGGGAGAATGGACCAGAATCCCACAGCCAACAGCCACATCCCCACCACCGACAACCAGTGTTCCCTCTAAGATGAGTTAGTGTGAGCTAGATCACAGGTTTTTAGCCTCTGCCTCACACATTTTTGTCTTCACTCAGGAAGGATGGCTCGAGAGCAAACTAATTTATGCAGGAGCCAAATCACTCACAACTTTAACGCCAGTAGCTCACAAAGTTCAATTTTGGCTCGCAAGACCCCTCAGCTTAGAGGGAGCCTGGCTGACAACCAGACCGTCTGGCCCTCTGCACCACGGCCACCCAGCCCTGCTGATAGAGAGTGTGATGGATTCACCAAGAGGTTACTGAACACTGCAGGTGTGCAAAGGTGTGCGTGCAGTAAGGGCCCTTTAAGCAGACACTCCTTGTCCTGGGGAGGTGAAGGCCTGATCCTGCATACAAGAACTCAGTCTGAGGGGGATTGCAAACAACACAAGATACTTGAAGATTGGTGAGTGGATCTTCTGAGTGTTTTTAATTGATAAAAACCATTTGATGGGTTCACGTGGCAATCTGCCGTGGGATGTGGCACAGGAGAGG